AATCGCAAAACTCTGCTATCCAGTGATCTTATCATTGGTAGAATAGGACATGGATAGGAACTGACACTATTTTATTCGAAAGACCTGCAGACTTTCTTCGTTTCATTACATGTATAACATAATATCAAATGAAATACGATCTATGTCATTCAATTTTCTTCTTAACTTTAATTAAGTCGAAAAATCAATGAATCAAGTCGAACACATCAAATCGATCTAAACAAGAAAAACATGAAACCTGAGAATAGTTTGGCAATCCAATTTCAATAGGAAAGTGGAACTCGACATGAAACTGTATCATTGGATTCCAGTTTCGTCTCAAACTCTACTTGGATTGATGAATAATTTTAGGGTGGAAACTATAGGTTTCCAAGTTCAAATCTAGCTTGTATCGCGTCTTTATAAAATAAATCATGACTAGTTTTTTATTTTAATCCGATATCGCATCATCTATTCTTATAGCTAAGACAATGATATCCTAAGATTTACTTGTCTCAGAATCAGTTTAATATTGATCAGATTCGTTTAAAAAAATATCATTCTTGACCATAGATCCATTTCTTAAACTGCTTTCAAATAATCACTAATCGAGAAAAGATTTGGAAAAGAGAATACATTCAAAAATGTATAAATTCATTAGATTCTATTGAGTCGGTTATATGAAGTTCCACATGCAAAATAAAAAGGTGAACGCAAGTTTAGAAGAAAGAATTGGAAATATCTATAATGCTATCATTTTTCGTGGTAAGACCTGCGCTGCTACCACGAGTGTTGCATATTACTTTAGTGTGTAATCTATCTGTGTTAAGATTTTTCTAAAGTACTTACTAAGAAAAGAAAGAATATAATTGTCTGATAACCATGTTAGCCATCCATCTTCAACATTATTACGACCTGCAACAAAATAAACAAACTTAATTATGTTAGAGTCATTTATGCTAATATTGCCGGAGAAGTGAACACTTTTAATATATCGTTTAATAAATCGAGTTACCTACATAATATTCAAGTAGCTTTTTCTTCCGGTAAAACGAGCAAACTTTTGTTTGTCTAATGATACAAACCTAATTAGACAAAAATTAACTATGAATATATTGAAATTCAATCGTAAAGAAACTATTTATTATTTTTTGAATACCTATTTGTAACACATTTCCTTAGTAAAGTTGTCAAATATTCTACTAATAGAGTTATTGACATGCATAGGCTCAAACTAGAACAGATAAGGGTTTGGATAGGCGTAGTTACATGCAAAAAGTTTTCTATTATTGTTCAGTTTTGGAGTTCTTCTAATAGCTGATGTATTTTTACAAGATCAATTCATATTTTCTCCACCACCGACTCGTGCTCAATGAAGTATTGATTGAACTTCGCTGGCATGTTTATCAATGTCAAATTCCTGGTTCTTAATAAAAGATATCTAACAGTTGAAACGATACTTGATGTAAAACAGAATTGTATGCATAAATGTCTGTATTAGAACCAAGCAAAATATCGACATCAGCTTGAATCAAACATCTGTTGTGACCTTTTTTTAAAGAATCAAGATGGAAAAATACTTTTTGCTGCTGAATAGGTTTATTTCTTCTTCGTTTTGAACAATCCATCCATGTAACAAAATTAGGATTGAAACCAAATTAAGATCGATTCAAACTTTATAAAAGGAAAACAATTTTAATTGATTTTTCTTTGTGACAAATGACAATGTCTTCATCTCAGTGTCACCGGTTTGCATCAACTATAATCGATATTTTTATACATTTTCAATTGATGATAATCAATTTTAATCTAATTTCAATCCTAACGTTGTTACATGGGCAGAGCCAGCTTAATTGAAAAATTTAGCCTACGCTAGACTGCAATCGTTCCGCTGCCGATTCTGACATGATTTCATATAATCAATTCCTACTATCTTATTTTTAATATCAACTAAATGTCACATTTGTCACGGCGAAATATGATCGTTTACGGCAATTAGAATGCTCATTTCGGATGATCAAACTTCTTTAAATAGGTATTGTTCCAATTCGAAAAATGTATAATGATTAATATCTTCTGATTTTCGTATGAAGATATTTGCACAATTAGTTATGCTGTAGTATACCTAACAGGTCGATAACTTTTCCCTCGTTACTATCTATGATGACTGCAAACTCGAATAGATCATGACTCAAAAAAGAATTGACGAGCAGAATTGAGTCTGTCAATAAAGCTTGCCTATAGCTAACGTAGTCAACCATTTTTCATCGGTTTGATATGACTAAAAAGTAAAACTTATACTGCAGAAAGATGTATAAAAGTTTTACAGGATGTTGTAAAAACCATTTTCTAAAAGTTTTTTTTATACATCTTTGCTATTTGATTTTACGTTTTTCAACTATTTTGTTAATGCTAGGTCAATATACAGAGTTTTTATTTCTACGAATATATTTTTCATGAACTGTTTGTAGCATTTGTCTTTAACTAAAGCAGAACAAGTTTCTCTTTTTCTCTAGATTTTTCCATTTATTTCGATGCTTAAATTGTCAAGATGCTTCAACACTTGTTTTTACATGTCTTAGCAAAAATAAATCAAAACGTATTGAGAGTAATTGTTAATTAATCGAAGATGTTTTCATCTTGTATACAAATAAATATCGATTATCATTCAGACGACATTTTCAACGTAAATATTTGTCTTATATTCCTAACGAAATAAGTATCAAAAGCGTTTAGAACAGTTTTATTGAAATTAGTTGGATCAATGATCGTCAACAGTCACAAAAATGTTTGCCACTAACAGACTCAAAATTCGATAAAATTGTTTGTCTAGTAGAATACATCCAAGAAACAAAACAATATCCGTCGACTTTCTTGAAAGATAAGAATATTTTAAAACTAAACATATTTCAAACTATGTATCAGCTATCAGCTTCTTTTTTAATCAAGCTATTTTTCATATATTAGATATGATTAATAAACATAATTACCGTATTTCGATTCAAAATAATCGTTTTGTTGCTGTGGAAATCTAAATGATTTTAGAAAAGCTTACATTATGATTTACAAAGTCGAGAAATTCAATCATTGAATCATTTTTGTTTCTGAAGAACAGAATATTTGATTAAGAAAATAATCTTGAGGCTTTGAATGTGTGTGAAGGTGTCGGTGTGAATAAATCTTTTTTTGATGCACACTCACACCATTCCACATCCACATACTAAAGTAAGTGCCGACTGAAAACCTCTCCGACACCGGAAAATGTTTATTTGTAAAACTAAAAATGTACAAGGTCTGGTTTAATGATCTCAAACTCTCACCTCAGTCTCAAGAAAAAAGAAATACAATCTAGCAGGAGGAAAGCGCGATTTCGTTTGATGACTAAAACTAATTATCAACCATTCATTTTTAATTAAGATCATGTAAATTTATCAAAGATAAAATTGAAGAAATTCTGGATGATTGCAAATCGATTCTTTTATCAATATTGATGAGCAAAAAAGGCGTAAGAAATTGAACAAAACGAAGAAAATGTTCTAAAAATCTTTTGAAAAATAATGATTAAATATTCATCATGATGCGTAGTAACAAGAACAGAAAATTTTAACAAAAGATACAAATAATTTCATTAGAAATAATAAATAAAATAATGAAACAAGAATATTACTTTATAGAATGACATATATTATCAATTTAACTAATTAATATATAACAACTTCTCAGAAAATATAATAAAAGATCAAGTAGAAAACTAGACATCAGTTGATCAATTCAAACATCTTCATTTGAGAATATGAAAAGAAACTTAATCAGACATGTGCCTTAGAAAATAAATCGAATTTTTTATTGTCCAGATTTTTTTTAAAGAATATCTTGTCAAATATGCATATTTAGTATGACAATATGCGTGAAGTTTTGCAAATCATCTCCATCAATAAAAGATACATATTGACGGTAGAAATACAGAAAAAAATGAAAACAATTACAGCAACGAGTGACAACAAAACATTGATTAGTACAATAGTTGTCTAACAAAATTGCTTACTTAAATATTTGTTTTTGTTTTATTCAACATTATTTTTATATTTATCAATCGAATTACAATAGAATGTATTTTTATATTCTTTTCATCATTTTCAAGTGTTTTTCTTTGTCAATAAAATCTCTAAGAGCCTATTTTCGAACTTTATTTGAGAGATTCAAATAGAATTTTCTAATAGAATTACAACATCCATTAGAGCCTACAAAATTGTTTTTATGAATTTTTACTTATTTTTAGACTTTTTTTTTCGTAGTTTGATGTATTTGATAGATAAATATGCTTAATACGCTATTTCAATGAAACATATATCAATGAGTAGATTAAATGTTGTTTTTTCTGTATGTTAGTGAAGAGTTTTGTTATCATTTATGAAGGAGATATTTACATCAATTCATCAGAGATACTATACTATTTATTGCCAATATACTGATCCTATCATATATGAAAATAGGCTATTCCATCAAATAATCTTGAAAGTTGATAATGAGTCCCTGTTAAACTGAAGATGGATGCAACATTGAGTACAATGAGATATCATATAGTCAAGGAAATTCTCTAGGTCCATTGAAAATGACCATTTTTAATTATAAAGAAAGTACTGATGAAAACTATTGATTAGAAAAGATTGAAGAATATCTATAACTTTATTGAATTGAGTTAAACAGCAAATTTGCATAAATAGACTTCATTTTGTATATATATCCTTCGATGCGTTATAATCTGCTCTAAAAGACCATATATGTGTGGCATCCTAGTTCAAGAGAAGTCACCAAGTTCAGTAAAGTCCTTTGACTATTTTGAAGAAAAATTTGGTTTGATTGAATACATCGAGTAAAGATAAAATGCAATTTGTCGAGTATTTGTTATTTATAATCGTTGTTTTTATTTTTCTTACATTTCGTTTGATAATTTTATTTTGATTAGAATCCCAAGAAAAATGATATCTTCTATGAACTTTCAACGCTTGTTATTATATTTTATGTTCGAACAATTAAATCTATATTATGTAAGATCAGCTTGGCCATCATCAAATTCTTCGAATATTCAACTCTTAGGACTTTTCGATCGTTTATCAAATAGATCTGAATCTAGTGAATTCTCTGTTCAAAGTCGAGCTATGTTTAAATCAGCTGTATTACTTTCTCAACAATATAATATGAAAATTGAAGGACAATCCATAGAATGGCAATCAGCAGAAACAAATGGTAATATAATCGATGCACTTAGTAAAACATGTCA